TTTTTTTTTGGAAGGACTGCATTTCACCATAACCATTGCATTGTTTGAGATGTTCTATAGTAGCATATTGGGGATGTGTGTTGTTTTGATTTATGTAACAGACTGTAAAATACCTATTAAACATTTAAAAAATATTTATTACATGTTTAAGTGACAATATTTCAGATATACTGTATTACTTAAGATATATTATTACTGTATTACTTAAGATATATTATTAAAACTTTAATTGTTTTTTTTTGTGTGTGTATGTGTAGAGACAGAGTCTTACTTTATTACCCTCGGTAGAGTGCCATGGCATCACAGCTCACAGCAACCTCCAACTCCTGGGCTTAGGCAATTCTCTTGCCTCAGCCTCCCAAGTAGCTGGGACCACAGGTGCCTGCCACAGTGCCTGGCTATTTTTTGGTTGCAGTTTGGCTGGGGCTGGGCTCAAACCTGCCACCCTTGGTATATGGGGCCGGCACCCTACTCCCTAAGCCACAGGCACTGCCCAAAACTTTAATTGTTTTAAAAATTTTTTAGGCCAGACGTGGTGGCTCATGCCTGTAATTCTAGCACTCTGGGAGGCCGAAGCAGGTAGATTGCCTGAGCTCACAGGTTGAAGACCGGCCTGAGCCAGAGTGAGACCCCATCTCTAAAAATAGACAGGCATGTGGTACGTGCGTGTAGTCCCAGCTACTTAGGAGGCTGAGACAAGAGAATCACTTGAGCCTGAGTTTGAGGTTGCTGTGTGCTGTAGGCCACTCTACCAAGGGGGACAAGTGAGACTCTGTATCAAAAAAAAAAATTTTGTTTTTTTTAAATGTGGCTACTATAAAATTTACAGTTACACATGTGGCTATTTGTATAAGACGGTACAGATTTAGACTTGTTACTTGTAAAGACTTTTTTTTTTTGGAAGAAGGAAGATGGTTCTCTGTAGTCTAAGAAGAACTGATGAGTTAATAGCATAAGTTTAATTTTTTTTAGGAATTTCTAAATCTACCCTTTTAATATTAATACTTACTACTTAATAACTATTAAGTTATTAAGTAATTTATAAGTATTATTAGTTATAATTATTGGTTATACTTAGTTATTAATAACTAAGTTTAATAACAATATTAAGAATGGGAAGAATCCATAGTGTTAAAGTTTTTTTTTAATCAAATCATAACTGTGTACATTAATGCATTTATGGGGTACAATGTGCTGATTTTATATACACTTTGTAATGCTTGCATCAAACTGGTTAACATAGTCTTCACCCCACTTACTTAATTATTGTGTTAAGACATTTATACTCTACTTTTTTTTTTTTTTGCTGTTTTTTGGGCCACGGCTGGGTTTGAACCCGCCACCTCCAGCATATGGGACCCATATGGGACCAGCGCCCTACCCTTTTGAGCCACAGGCGCCGCCCTATACTCTTAATAGATTTGACATGTGCCCTTGCAAAATGCACCATAGGTGTGGTCCCACTGATTACCCTCCCTCCATCCAACCTCCTCAGTCTTAAAGTTTTAATACATTTCTTATATATTTTAAAACTTCTTTTAAAAAACTCTGGGTGACAGTATCAGAAGCCATAACTAAGACCTATGTAATAAAGTCACAGCTAGAACGGCCCCCCAAAGAAGGTTCTCCAGCTGATTTCATTGCTGTTATGAAACATTTAATACTACTGAGGGAGGAGGTGGCTTGTCCTATAGACATTATTGTCCTGGGGTTTCTCTCTTGTATTTCTGCATTGCCTCTCTCACTGTTTTGCTTGTTTTTCAAAAGCTCATCAATCTCTTCAGATTATGGCAATGCTTCTTTCACTAGGGAGAAAGAAATCACAGGGCACTAATGGTTCAGCACAGCTAAGTGTTAGGTCTCATGTTACTAAATTTGGCTTTTAAAGCTGTTTCTAGACTTTCCTGGTTCCTGCCCTGCTCCACCCTCCCCCGCTCCTTATTTTTAACTTCTGGTCCAAGGCCAAAGTTGTTTTCTTGCAGTGAAGTCCTTGCTATTCAAAATTTGGTCTGTAGACCAGTAGCATTAGCAGCAGTTAGAGCTTGGTAGAAATGCAGACTCCCAGGCCTCACTATCAGAATCTGCATTTTTAACGAGATTCCCTAAGTGGTTTGTAGGTACATTAAAATGTGAGAATTGCTGCCAGGAGTCACCACTAGTATACACCTAATAACAATAATTATTACACTAATTATTTACTACATCTGAGGCACTATTTAAAGTGTTTTACATGCTTGTTTGAGTCCCCTACAATCTTACGATGTAGGGATCATTTTACAGAGGAAGAATCTGTGGTCCGGAGAGATTAATTGGCAGAGTTGCACAGGAAGTCAGATAGCAGGGACATGTACCCTGGCTTGACCCTTCTATGATCCTCCTTTTGTGGTTGCTTTTTGGTTTGTGAAAGTGGCAAGAAGATGGGTTTTCAAGCTGGAAGACCCAGGATCAAATCCTACTTTAGCCTTTTTTCCTACTCATGGAACTAATATTATGAATTCTTAGTGCATACTTGTCTCAGGTCATCTTCCTGAACTCTCCTTGTTCTAAATGCATTTCCTGCTTTTGGCTTTATACTCAAGCTTCTCTTTGTATCCTCTTGCTTTAAATTTTTCTACATCTTTTAAAATTCCACATTATCAGTCTTCCTTGGGGTTTCCATTTCTCTTAAATTGGCGCTTTCTGCAGTCATATAATTTGATGTTCTTCTTCCAGCCTATTTTCACCTTTAAGACAAATTATCAGCATGGTTATGTAGTTATAGCAGTTGTTTCATATCTGGAGCAAGTGTTTTCTTCTAGAATGTATTAATTAATATATTCAACGTGAGGCAATGATGTAGGACATGGAATATAATCACAATTTTGGGGAAAGGGAGCTGAGAGCCAGAGCTTTAAATATTTAAAATCAGGTTTTTTTTTTTTTTGTTTTGTTTTTATTTACTGGAAGCAGAACTTCTATATGCAGCTCAGGTGTACGTTCCAGCTCCAATAAACTGTAGGTGAAGATGGCCCGTACAGTGTGTGGACTGTCAAATCAAACTGGCAAGAGTAAAACTGGGGAAAAATGTACAGCTTGGGCTTTTCACTTTTGCTGCTAAGACCAGGAGCATGCTTGAAGTTAATAGAAGTTGGAGATGAATAGAAATTAAAACCAAATCCAACAAGTGGGAGGAGTAAACTTCTTACACAGTTTTTATAGGAAATGAATTTTATAAAGGTCAGTCGGACTGCTGTCCTGTAGGTGATTTTGCAGCCTATCTTAGAACAGCCCTCAGATTTGGAAGGATTGAACCTATCTCTGGATTCCTGGTCTGTATGTTTATGCCAGCAAAACAGTAGTGACATAAGAAAAACTCTTCTTACAGTTTCATAGTCCTTTTTTCTTTCCCTTTCTAGATCAGGGTTGAGAGACCACGATGTAATTGTCAGCATAAATGGGCAACCTGTCACCACGACGACTGATGTAACTGAAGCTGTTAAGAACAATGATTCCCTTTCCATTACTGTTCATCGGGGAAGTCAAATTTTGTTCCTGACAGTCACACCTGAAATTATCAATTAAGTATCTTGCTTTAAAGAGAGGTTACCTAACAAAACTAAACTTGTATTTGCATTGAAGATTTAGCAAAGATGGCAAGGGGTTTTAGGATCTCTTTCATATATACATATATGGATGTTTTGAACACAAACACACACATGTGGTGTCAATGTATCAGGGATCACTAGGTAGAGAGTGCTGTGTTGCTGTTAAGAAGCCTTACTCAACTAAGTGGAAGAAGGACATGGTGCTACAAGTCTGGGGAACTGATAAAATTTTATTTAAAAATAGGAAGCAACTAAAAAACAGTCACAGTTTCTAATTTAACCTTGACAGAGGGACACTGTAGTATTTAAAACCTCTATAGCCACAAACTAGATATAACACACACACACACACACATACATCTATCAAATATTAAGCAACAACCCACACTGAGTGTAAAGGTAATCATTTCTTTTTAGAATACTCTTTTGGTCAGTGAGTTTTTCAAGTTTTATCACATTCGGCTGGGGTTTATGGATATAGAGGAAGGGCATCATTTAGAAGTCACACTGCAACTGACAATTACAGATGGTCACACACACAACTACTAAAGATACTCAAATTATCTCTAGCAATGGAAACGACTTTTGTCTTCAACAGCTTTTCAGACTCCGGGAAGGGCTCCTTCTATTGTACAAGTACTAACCAGATTTGACCCTGCTTAGCCTCTGAGGTCAGATGAGATTGGGTACACTCAAGGTGGTATGCCATAGATGATGATGGCTTTTTCTGTTAAACGGCTTCTTTAATAATTTACAGATGTTTATCTTTTTACCCAAGCTCTTTTTCCTGGCAACATTAATGATTTCAAATTTTGGAGTTGCCAAAGGTTTTTGTTCTTTTCTTAAAAGGAAAACAACTTTTGACGCAGTTTCTGAGTATTAGGAGATTTAAAAAAGATGTGGGATGACATGATAAAGTTTAAAGGTTTCTTTTGGGTAAGATTTAAATTTTTTTTAAAAAGGTATGACATCCTTGAGCCCCCTTAAATTCTATGTAGACTTTTATGTATATGTGTATTTTCTGGGGAAAGAGTCTAGTTTCTTCATGACCCCTGACAATTTAAAATATACTGCCTTAGGGTATAGAGCTTCTGAATTAAAAGTCTACTAATTGTTACTATTATAAGCAACATCAAGGTTAGTGTGGTACAGAACTTTCAAGATAGGCGGGAACCATCTATATTCGTTTTTTACACCATTGCCACCTTTAATAACATAAGAACAGTGATCATATTAATAAGGAATGATAAGGCAGAAGTTATTATGAAAGCTGCTATGAAATGATAAAATATATCCAGGGAAACTATTTCAACCATGATTCTTGGTCTTAAAAGTCAATTATTATGAGATAAACTTTGAGTAGTTCTACTTTGATTGTTTCTAGCCTTTGCAAGTTATTTTGAATAGCAGACTGTTAGTTTGACTTGGCCACAGAGTCACTTGTTTTTTTGAGACAGAGCCTCAAGCTATACCCCTGGGTAGAGTGCCATGGCATCACAGCTTACAGCAACCTCCAACTCTTGGGCTCAAGCGAGTCTCCCGCCTCAGCCTCCCAAGTAGCTGGGACCACAGGCGCCCGCCACAACGCCCGGCTATTTTTTTGGTTGCAGCTGTCGGTGTTTGGTGGGCCAGGCTGGATTTGAACCCGCCACCTTAGGTGTATATGGCTGGTGCCTTAGCCACTTGAGCCACAGGTGCCGAGCCACAAAGTCCACTTTTTATTTTACATGTAATAGTTCTTTCAACTTAGATTGTAAAGGATGGGAAATAATCTCTAAAACTATTTGTAATTTGGAGCGCTTCTTTTATTCCCTGTGATATGGGAATGAAAAGCTTGGCTGTATCTCTTTCTGACTGCTATGGCCCATGGTGAGTTTTTCGTACCATGCTTATTCTGAGTTCTGAATGTGTTCAGTTTTTTCCCCCATAAATCACATCCAAGTTCTACCCTAGTATTCAATACCCTTTAAGTAGGAATGTGTATTTCTTTCTAAGGGCATGAGGCTTCTCACTTTATCTTACCTAATCATGAGGAATAGTTTTACAGAAATTTGTATGAAATCTTTATCGCCCACAACATGGGTTCTACAAACTGTTAAATATTAAATTATTGAAAGGACAATTCTGCCCAGAGGAATAGCTCAGTTCACACATGTCTGATACTGTGTTGTCTTTCAAAACATAATTGAAATGTAGAAATTATTGTGTAGCGCAGCACATACTGCTTTTGAAGCATAACAATGGTGACACAACAGAGGTTTATTAATAGAGTGTTTCATTTCAAATCCCAACCTTATGGCAAAACAAGCACAATTTGGAGTTTCACTCTATCTCTTGATACAGCACCGTTCCAGGTTGGAAAAATTTATTGTGCAATTTAAATTTGGAAAGTTAGAATTTCAGTGTGTGGTAAAATCCCCGGTCATGTCTACTTCTGCTGAAGGTTTTCAAGGTTTTCATTGACTCAGCTTCAGGTCTCCTCTGCATGAAGACTCAGGGTCACAAAAGGCTTGTGGATAAAGATATTCACTTTACTCATCCTGTTAGCTCCATGTGCTTTAAAGGACCAAAGATACAAAAGTACATACAAATAAAGACTATGGAAACCCTTCCACAGCTTCTGAGTTGGTCGCTATCCTTTATATTTTGTATTATGAGGAAAGGTACAACACACTTTGCTTTTCTGGTCTGAAAGGGTGAAATCTGGGTTGAAAATTCAAAGTAGCCTTTTTAACCAAACTGGTTCCCTCCAAATGGTCAGGTCTGATATCAGAACTGCAGAGAAGAATTCAGAAAACAGAGCTTTCATTGCTTTCCTGGGCCCCGAGGTCAGCTCTTTTTAGTAAACAGTGCACCAGTTGCTGCCATCACTTGGCATCAACCCTCCAGTAATAAGCAAAATAAGGTCAACGAACCACCAAATCCCAAGTCCTCCGAGAGTCAACAGCTTCCCTACTGCTGTGCCAGTGTGCCCCAGACAGAAACGGTCCACTCCAAAACATCCCAGGAAGAAGGAATAGAGTAAAGTGGTTATGAAGTAGTGTCCCGTATACCTAGACAATAGGAATGAAAAGGAAAATTAATGAATTTAACCTAAGTGAAAAGATGGTGTAGCAGTGCCTCGGTGGCCTCTTACCCTCTGCTTTGTATTCTTTAATGAGATGGTCTGTCAGGTGTAGCCACAAGAGGAGACACAGGGGAGGCTCAGGAAGAAAAAAGTTTATTACATCCATAGGTTCTAGAGATATGAGGCACAGTCTACAACACAGGACCAGGTGGGAAAGACACCATGGTGGTAAGAAGACAGGAGAGAGGGGAAGGCTTAGGCCATTGCCTTTATGAGGGTTTCCTAGGAAAGGCAGGGCAGGGCAAAGCAAATAATTTAGGATTGGCTACTTTGAATAATTTTAGCAGAGTCTAAGCAACAGGTGTCGTCCCTTGTTGCCTGGCACCTGGTCCTGGAATGATTAAGGCAGAGGAATAGTCTCCTGTGGTATACAGGCTCGATACCGGAAGTATGTCTCTGGACTAGTTTGTGTACTAAAGACATGCTCCTGGAAGGGCCCTTTGCTATCTCTTAAGAAACAACCTCAGCCTCAGAAGAGGCAGTTTCTCCCTAATCAGAAAGGTTTCTTAGGATGTCAAGATTATAATAAACACACATGCACAACCTTTCACCATATCCCTTCTTAGCATCCATTTCAAGATTATAATAAACACACACGCACAACCTTTCACCACATCCCTTCTTAGCATCCATTTTCCTTCCCCCTCAACAATCTGTAGTTGGTCTAAGGTCTCAACAGAGTACTTGCTAAGATATGGAGGACCTCAGAGAACAAATATTGACCTTTGCAGAGTTGGACTGTGCGAGAAGTTATGAAGCACATTTTGACAGTGGGAATCTTGGTAGGAGTGGAATCTGGTCTCTCACTCTTCTCTACAAAGGGTCCTTTCCTGAGACCAAGGTGGCTTCCTCTGAGGGCAGTTGTCTAAGCAAGCATTGTCCTTAAATGAACACTTGATCTCCATATAGTTTTGCCGCTGATTGTAGCAGCTACCAGTGAGGACTTCTCCATAAGGTTTCTGTCCTTATACACTGTGATGACACAGTTGCAGTTACTTTAATAACACTGAACATAGCCACTGACTCTTCCAATTAGCAAACAGTGTCAGTAAATCTGTCCTGTCAAGCAGAATTTACAGAAATGACCCTGATCTTTGAACTTTAGGGTAAACTGATTTTTGGAGTAAGGAGCCCATCTACACTTTTCATAATAAAACCTTTATTCCTGAAATACCAGGGCAATTTTCACAGGATTTTATGCCTTGCATAGGAATTTCTGAGCTAAATCACCTACTCAACTCCTTTTTATAGATGGAGGAAAACTACGAGTTTTCCAAAGGCACTTAGTGAGGGAGATGTTTAGAACTTATGACTTCTAATCTCAAATCCATTGTCTTCACTATAAACATGCTGCCTTTGCCAGTAGATTATGCACGGTAGTGATCACATGTCCTCTTTAACACTTAAAGTGTCACATCAAAGAGGATAAGGAAAATAGCTCTATCTCCATCCAGTCACCAACTACTCCACTCAACGTAATACTTACTTTATGCAAGGTTTATTTTCTCGTAGGAAGGTCCTAGAACCGGCACACTCAATTCCATCTAAGGCCCGGCACTGGACAGAAGTGTGTTCCACATCACTGTAGGCCTGTCCACCGAACTGTGGAATAACCACCAAAACCAAAACAAAACAAACTCACCAAAGCAAGTAACACAAAAATACATCTTTATATTCTTTAATAAAAGCTACCTGAGGACTTTAGTTATTCTAACAAGGTTGAGGTAAAGCTGTGCTCAAAAGAAAGGAATTTAGTGACATGAAGTGATTTTAGATTAGTTCATCCTAAATGTACATTGTTTAAATAAACTGCTTTTTTCTTCATGATTGGTTTCTTCAATAATATATTCATCCTCCCTATAATTTCATTAGATGTCATGTAGAAGAGACAGACACAATGCTTTAATTATCCCATGTTTATAGGAAAAAGAGTACAAAACCGAACATTTGGGGATGGGTATTTCAAAAAGTCAATGTGTATTAGAGGTCTGTTTTATATCCTTTATAAATTAACATAATTAAGTAAGAACTCAGAATATCAATTGTCTCAGGACTTTATTTAGGCCACAAATGTCTGATTATCAGGCATCTATAGTACAACTGTAGTGTAAGTTTAAATTGCAGCAAAAAATTTCAGAATTGGGGCTTTTACCCTTTGCTTAACTGAATTCTAGCAGAGAAAATACAACTATGCATTTTTATTGGCACTTTATTGTTTTATTGGCACTTAATATTTCTGTTGTAGAGTTACTCAAAAGGAAGGGACTGGGAAATAGGGATGCCCCCTGAACTTACGTGCCTGAGTGCTGTCAGTCCTGTAAGACTTCTGGGTGAGGTAAGAGTTTGAATGCCTGATAGGATAAGTTTAGTGGGTTTTTTTTTTTCTCTTTTTCTGAGGCAGAGTCTCTCTCTGTTGTAGAGTGCAATGGCAGCATCATAGCCGGCTGCAAGCAATCCCCCTGCTCCTGCCTTAGCCTCTCAGCTAGGATTATAGGTGAGCAGTGTACCTGGCTGGTTTTTCTATTCTTAGAAGAGATGGGGGTCTGCCTCTTGCTGAAGCTGGGCTTGAACTCCTACAGTAAAGCTATCCTCCTGCCTTGGCCTCCCAGAGTGCTAGGATTACAGGTGTGAGCCACTGTACTCAACCAGGATAAACTTAATTTTTAATTAAAACAGGTAAAAGTGAGTTATCTCTATACAATGCTGATTCGAACTTCTATTATTTATTATCAATGGAAAAAATTTCTTAACGTTTAAAATATTTTTCTAAAGCTGGTATCAGTAAGTTGCCTTTTTAATCTCATTACCGTCAGGTTTATTCCTCTGTCTGATATGTTACGTTGATATATATTGCATGGTGATAAAGTCAGGGCCTTTACTGCATATATCACTGAAGCAATATACATTGTACCCAGCAAGCAAGCTCCCATCATCTACCTTCCTCCCATCCTGACCCCTCCAAGTCTCATCTCTGTTTTATTTAGTACTGAATGTTTTCCCACAATTCTGTTAATACCATGATTGAATCCAGACGTGCATTATGTAACATACTATGATGGTTGAGTACACTGCAGGGAAAGAGATACATAAACTTCACTGGTTTCTGAGAGACTGACCAGGAAGTGTGTATAAGCCTTAGATATTATTATTAACATTAATGGAAATGAATGGTATCATTCCATTCCAAGAAACCACTATTACTAAAGGAATAGGAATAGTAAGCCACTCTCACTCCTGTGGAATACTTTAACCTCCTACAAACACATATACACACAGACCCAACTATTCCCTAAGGACATAGGGAATAGGGAATTGCTTGCCTGGTGAAAAGAAAGGTTATCAGCAAGAGGAACTCTGCCTCAAATGTGCGTGTAACAAATATACTGCCCAGGCCTGTTGCAGTGGCTCATGCCTGTAATCCTAGCACTCTGGGAGGCCAAGGCGGGTGGATTGCCTGAGCTCTTGAGTTCAAGACCAGCCTGAGCAAAAAGCAAGACCCCTTCTCTATTAAAAATAGAAAAACTGAGGGAAGAGGAACAGTTGAGTCCAAGAGTTGGAGGTTCCTGAGCTAAGATACCATGGTATTCTACCCAGGGTGACAGCTTGAGATTCTGTCTCAAAAAAAAAATAAAAAAAAGATACTGCCCAATCCATCATCGGTTTTGGAAAGTACATAGACTTTCTTTTCCTTCGGGAATGTGCATGGCTTGGAAAGCTGGGGTGAAATTTTAGCTTCACATCTGTCAATCTCAATGTTGAAAGGAACCAAAAACAGGTTGGTCACTGTACCTCGGTGGTTTTGGCACAAAGATTGCTCTTTCATGAGGAAACTGAATATGCCTCGGTCAGTCACTGACTCTGGACAGGGAGGAAATTTCCAGTAACAGTCATTCTGACAAAATTCTTCTAAGAAGTAAGTTCATACCCTTATACTTTTCTGTAACAGCATTTAACCAGTACTGTTTCTCAAGAGTTTGCAAAGAGTTTGCTTATACAACAAAACAAAACCCCACCTTGAGACAACCATAACCAAGTTCCTGGGATGCAGTTATGTTTCCAACATGATCCACTGGGTCTTCACATTCTATAAATTCATCAGGTCTGTAATTCAACAGTAAGATCATGATCATCATCATCATCATATATGATCTCTGTAAATCACTTTTTACATGCACGTAATCAAAACAGACAAGAGATATTTCTTCACCAAGTTTTCTGGGGTTCAGTTTCACCCTGCATACCCTTTTCCAAGAGGTGGTGTCAATTAGACTGAAGCACACCACATTAACCATTAACCTTTTACTGGAGAAGGGAAGTGTTTCTGGTTCTGTTATTACATAGGTTCTACTTATGCTATGGCTTTATCTCTTCAATAGGCAAACCACCATGAGGCTTGTGCTGCAAAATTTAAGCTAAAGGATTCGCAGTTCTCTTTGCATTTCCCATACGCCTTTTCCTAATTGATCAACAAAAGATGTGAAAAATACCTTGGCTCTACAACAGTTAAGAATATTGCCTTTAAGACATCAAGTACCTAGCAGGCAAAGAAAAGTCGTTTACTCCATTTATGCCTCGCTCTGTACTGGCACCTAATTAATCCACCAAATTGTTCTTTGGCTAAAGGGCGCAGGACTGAGAAGGCACAATCTCGTACCCTTCTTCCAGAGGCTATATGATGTCACTCCTCCCTAGTTCTTCGCTTTTGGGATCCCAAAGGATCTGCCACCGACACACAAGGCTTTTCCCTGCATAGGTGAGAGGAGTGAGAAACCTGTCACGATATTTACCTCCTGCGTATTGACTACCAGGTCCTCCGATGGAGTGAACAAAAAGCAGCCTCCTCCCCTTCCCACAACACCCACATATCCCGGGCCCAATTTTCATATCCACCAGCCTCGACTGCCGGGTCGCTTACAGGTAGGAGCAAAGGATGACTGGAGAGTGGGGATCGCCATATTCCCAGCTCGGAGCACTGGTGGAGACCTCAGGGTGGGCGGCGGATGTGAGCTCCGGCTCGGCGGTAGCATTTTGCGAGTGGCTCCGAGAGACACAATGCAGCAGAAGTAGATTCCCCAGCAGCAAAGCCGCCTGGCCGCAGAGAAGTAAGTAACTCACCGGGAAACCACCCAGCACCATCTTCCTAGTAGTTGCCAACCTTCCCCAAACACAAACCCAGGCCGGCACCGCCGACCCCAACCCTGCCAGGTCCAGCCTCTTAGCGTAGGCGCCCTCCTGGCTGCCGAACAGCCAATGGGCGCGCAGCTCTAACCTCCGCTCACACCCACCCAACCAACCAGAAAGGGCTGAGCGAAGGGGCGGGGCTTCGCCTTCCCTATTCCTCTGTTGAGTCTGACGCTCCTCCTCTTTTGCTCCGAGTGCTTCCTCTAATGTTGGTTTCCCTAGATCATCAAAGTGGGCGGGCCGTGGGGCAGAGGGGGCGGGGCGGGTAGTGACAGGGCGGGGCAGAAGAGTAAGGGTGGTAGAAGCGGATTTAGAAATCTCATTTTGCCGCTGGGGACTAGATTTTTCCCTACGTCAGCGTAGGGAGCGTGTTGTCGGGAGCGAGCTCGGACTTCGGGCCAAGTTACGTCACTGCCGCGCGCGTGCTCACCCCCGGGCGCGCGCCTCCCGGCTAGTTCTGGGGCCCCGGCTGGGTAGGAAAATGATGGAAGAGGTGGAGGCGGAGGCGACCGACTGTTGAGTGGAGCCTGCGGAATCGGCCAAGATGGGGTCGGGCGCGGAGTCGCCTTTTGGGACCCGCCGTTTCCAGTGGTTGCTGTTGTTTGGCCTGATGGGCCCAGTCCTCGGTGGGGCGCGGCCAGGTGGGTGTCCGCCCCCGGCGTCCTTTGGGAGTGCTGTTTCCTGGGGCTGGGGAGCTCGGCGTTAACCTTTGGTTCCCGGCCCTAGACCCGGGGTCGGGAGGCGAAGCCGCTCCAGACCTGTGTGGACAGTGCTCACACGTCTGGCTCCCCGAACCCCTCTTGGCTCTGGGCTCCTGTCTGCTTCCATTTCCTCCGCCTCGCTCTTGGCAGGGCCTTTTGCTCTGCGCCCCACCCCCATCGCGCGCAAAGCCGGGTGCCTCCAGACGTCCCAGGGGCTGCTGTGGGTCCGGCTCTGACCTCGGAGTTGGCTGAGAGCCCTGGCGGCTGAGTGCGCGCTGGAGGCTGTTTCAAGTTCAAAATGCTGTGAGCAAAGCAGCTTGTTTCTGCTTATGAAGTTAATGTCCCTTAGAAAGAGGCTGAAAGATGGAAGTTTTGCTTTAAGTTATCCTGATTTGAGATTTTGACCGTCATTTTATTAGTAAAATCACCAGCAGGTCCACAGAACTGAATTAGGGGAATGGGATAAAAGGTTGGGAGGGCGCTAATTTTTCTCCGGCCGTTTTTGTTGTATTGAGAACACTTTTTTTTTGGAAGCGAGGCGCTACATATTTATAGCCAATCGGTCTTTTATCTGAGTTCGTGTTTCTTAAATCCAGATAGTCCCTGCTCTGTTTAACTCAGGATTATGGTAAGAATGAATTCACTTACGTGAAATCATTTTTGAATTGTGAAACTTCCCTTGAGTATGTAATATAAGATGTTTACATTGGAGATGCCCAAACATAGTGGAGAAAAATTGTAAACACTTCTTGCTGGAAACACCTGCTTTGTTTATGTTGGCTTTTTTATTAATTATTGTTTGTATGGCTCTCTATCAGAGATAGAGTATAATGGAGAAATGGATTTTTTTTTTTTCTTTTTACCAAATCATTGCTTAGAGAATTATTCAAAGTTGATGATAGAAGATTTCTGTGTTGGACTGCTGACTTTCAGGAAGCTAATTGCATTTTTTATCTTTGCCTTCTTTTAAAATTAAGTATAATTGCCCCAGTGGGAAAATTAAATAGGAAACCGCCAAATATTTTCTTCTTAAAATATTTGTCCTGTGGTATTCTAGATGGTTGACGTTCACTGATATATAAGGTGAAGTAGATTATACATCTGGAATTTTAGTAATCTGTGATTTTGTGTGTTCATCAATGTAAATAAGACTATTTTCTTTATGGGGGGGCTGGTGGGTTTGAACCTGGCCTGGGCCTGCTAACCAACAATAACAGCAACAACACCAAAAATAGCCGGTTGTTGTGAGTGCCTGTAGTTTCAGCTACTTTGGAGGCTGAGGCAAAAGAATCACTTAAGCCTAAGAGTTTGAGGTTGCTTTAAGCTATGACAACATGGCACTCTACCTAGGGTGACAGAGTGAGACTCTCTCAATAACAAAACAAGTATTTGTTTATTTATTTATTTAGATAGTCTCACTTTGTCGTGCTGAGTAGAGTGCTCCGGTGTCATAGCTCATAGCAACCTCAAATTCTGGGGCACAAGCAATCCAGAATGCCCTTGCCTCAGCCTTCTGAGTAGCTGGGGCTACAGGCACCTGCCACAATGCACAGCTATTTTTAGAGATGGGGTTGTGCTCTGGCTCAGGCTGGTCTCCAACTCCTGAGCTCAGGCGATCCACCCACGGCTGCCTTCCAGAGTGCTGGGATTGCCCGGCCTAAGGCTGTATTTTTAATATTAATGTGTATGTTAATTATACCTGTATATAGGGTAGGATATCCTTAAGGTCTTTAGCAGTGGCTTCAACAGGTTATGGCCATTTCCTCACTTAAGCATGTGTTATATGGAACTCCTACAAACATCAGGCTTAATGCTTGTGGAGGGGCAGAAGGTGACCATATGTGGTAAATGTATATGAGAGATGCTGGGGGATCATTTATATAAAAATGATATTAAACTGGGCTATCTTGGTACAATTTTCAAGTGAGGGTAGGAACAGATTCTAAGTAGAACATAGTTTTTGCAAGAGTTTGGGGTGTGTGCAAAAGGACTTGTTAGGAAATGCTGAGAATGTCATTATGACTTCAGGCCATCTGTATGAAAGGGAGGGATGGAAGATAAAACGAAGGTAGAACCTTCTATGCCAAGCTAAGGGGTTTGGACTTTACCCTGCAGGAAGTTCTTTGGGCAGTGAAGGTTTTTAAGTAAGGGTGTGACTTAACTGCATCTTTGGTTAAGAAAACCGACCACATGATAGAATCTAAAAGGGAGAGACTGGAGGCTGGGAGAACAGTTAAGAGGCTTTTGTATTTTGTACTCAGTGTGCAATGAGTCAACTCATGTTTCCCCAAGGGAATGTTAGTTCAAAATCAGCTGACTAAATTTTTGCAATACAGGATGTTTAAAACTTGCACTGAAACAATTTTCCCCTAATGAAAAGGAATTTGAAGACTCAGTAAGTACCACTCACATATGGATTTTAGTAGATTTTGGTAGGATTTTTACTACCATTTATCACATGTGTCAAGGAGGAAATGCAGTAAAATTTTCAAACAGCTGACTTACAATAAACCTTTTTTTTAAAATACTGGGGCTGACAAAGGTAACTTTGTATCATTGTGAAAAAATAACAAAGAATGAGGTATGAAACTTGTGGTTTTCTGAGGTAGTTACTAGGATGCAATGTGTAGACTTAGAAATGTTTTTAAACGAAGACTGGCATTCTAAAGAAAGTGAATTTAAAAGTTCAATTATGGTGAATCACTGTAAAATGAACTATACAGTAAGAACTTAAGTCTGTACTAATCTACTTTGGATACCAGCAAACTATTTGAATTTGACATGTTTGTGTGTAGGAGAATTCTCTTTTAAATTTAAAGATGGTTTAAGTGAAAAAGAAAGCATTTATAATTGAAATATATACAAAATGAGTTGTTGGGTTTTCTTTTTTTTTTTTTTTTTTT